TTCTGCCCCCCCCCCCCCGACAGCATGTACTGTCTATAGATCTGTATAGGATTATATGACTCCCCCAGCCCCCCCATAACAAAACTCTGTTCATAAAGATGAGAGCATAGGCCTTTTGAAAACTGAAAGATGGTAAAAATACAGCTATACCTGCATCAGGTTGTAGGTAGCAAGGTTTCCTATTAAGGTGCCCCAGCCTTGCAAAATTCTGGAGTGTCGTACTGTGGTGTTTAGTATATCAACAAGAAATACAAAACAGAACAAAAGGAAAAAAGAAAAAAAAGGAAAAAAGAAAAAAAGAGGAAGACTAAGGCATTGTTTTGCTTTGTGTTTCTTGTTGTTATGCTTGCACAGACTAATATGGTGCGGAGTGTAAGAGACCAAGTGTGTGACCTGTTGGATGCATGATTGGCTCTGGCAGTCTATGTTAGCAAGCAAACAGTGACAAAGTCTGACAAAAGAAATGATTATATAGAACTTACATAATCATGGTTGAACGGAACTTATACAGTAAAGTGGCACACCTGCATTATGTTAATACATCTGCTATGCCCAGCCAGAAAAATACTGGTGATTGTTTGAGATGCTAAAGTGCACATAAAAAGGTATAAGCAGAATTCTCTGCTAAAAAGCAAAAGAGACAACCATGGGTGACTGTGAAGATGAGAAGCCAATAGATATAAATACTTCACAATTTGTCGCAGGCAGCTCTCTGTTTTCCCTTTTAGATGGAGAGAGGTTTCTTCATGATGGACATGAATTAGCTTGCAGCTCCATGGTCAAGTACTGCAGGATTTGCTCTGCTTTTAAAACGGGTGAATTCAAAGTATTTTTTTTACTGATTGCATGATGCAAAAGCTGATTCAAATCAGGCCAACCCTTTTTGCTCCCAAACCAGCATTTTTCTCTGCTGCCAGGGGGCATCTACTTTTTCAAGCTAGAATAATTTGAACGGGCTTCTTCCTATGTAGTTAATTGAATATGGTCTTGTAAAGATTGAGGGGGAGGAGAGTGTCTGTAAGTGGTATTTCGGAGATGTAGGCAGTTCAGGACCAGAGAACATGTCCTTGCATTCTTTTCTCTCCCCCAATCACCCTCCAAATTTGTAATTGTTTTTAAAAAAATTCTTACATGTATGAGATTAGCACTAGATCATCTTATCACTGGGTCATCATTGTTATTTCCCATATTTACGTCCGGTAAAAGGATTGGCAGAGGTGAGATCAAAGGAAGGAAGCAGGCCTGTGGGCTGGAATGCATATTGCATTGCGTCCAATATGAATGGGGAATTCCTAAATCAATCCACAGCTGCCATGTGAGCACTGATTACAATTTTACACATAAATCAAATTGCAGCAAAGTGTTTTCAGTGTTTTAGCACCCTTACTTGGTTTTCTGGGGCTAATAACTTTCATAGATTGGGTGTTATATAGGGTGCCTGTTTTCTCTCTTTGCCTGGGCAACCCTACACCAAAGAAAGATTTTGTAGGAAACGAGACATTACCTGGATGCCTATTGTGCATCTGTACTTCTGTTTCTGTAATGTTGGCCCTATGACTGCAACTGTTTTTCTGTGGACTGTTGGTTCATTTGTCCTTGTAGCCTTTCTCTCATTAGCAGTCTGTGTAATGCCACAGAAAAACTGAACACCTGGGGACTGTAGCATTCCTTGCACATGAGGGCTGTCTCCATGGTCTTGAAGAACACTTGGTGTGGGCAGTCTTTAAAAAATCCCTCCCTGGATCTTGACGTGCTTGAGAAGTTCAGTGAAATGAGTCACCTTTCTCTTCTAGGGAGACTTTGTGAGGTAGTTCAGGTGAAGACACTTCAGCCTCACCCATTCCTGTCTGGATTTGGAATGGAATGTGATGTATGGTCCTCTCTAGGAGAAGAAAGCTGAAGAAGGCTTGTCCACTCACTTAGCATGCATGGATTTGGAATGGAAACGGACATCGTCCCTGTGATGTATAGTCCTCTCTAGGAGAAGAAAGTTGAAGATGTTGTGTTTTGGATGTAAAGGTTATGCCC